GCCACAGGATTGTTCCTTGATCTCTGTCTTTTATGTAATCTTATCTTTTTTTCTCCTTTTTTTGTAGTACGGGGGTGGAGGGCAGGTTGGGGGGTCGGTCAGCGTGAATTTAGATTTAGGGCTTTACACTTGCTTGGCAGTTACTCTGCTGCTTGGACACTACCCCAAGCCCTTTTTGCTCCCGTATTTTCTTGAAGGTAGAGTCTTCCATTGCTTCTCCTATTCCCCAGCATTGTCTACAACCCCCATATTTATTCTTCCCACAAAGTTGGGAAGACAGGTCTGGGATACTACCTCTGGTTTATGTTTTATTAGTAGTTTGCTTTTTGTTTTGTTTTGGTTTTTTTTGGTGCTAGTCCTAGGGCCTAGGTATCCTTGAGTTTTTTTTTGTTGTTGTTGGGATTGAACTCAGGGCCTGGACACTGTCCCAAAGCTTTTCTGCTCAAGGCTAGTACTTTGAGTACTGTTCCACTAGGTTTTCTGGTGGTTAATTGGAGATAAAGAGTCTCAAAGACTTTCTGAGATCTTCAGATCTCAACCTCCTAAATATCCAGGATTACAGGCATGAGCCACCAACACCTAGGCCTGAGCTTTTTTGCATATAAGACTAGGGCTCCGGGCTGGGAAGGTGGCTCAGTGGTAGAGCGCTTGCCTTGCAGGCATGAGGCCCTGGATTCCATTCCACAGCACCACATAAGCAAAAAGAAAAAAGCCGGAAGTGGCGCTGTGGCTCAAGTGGTAGAGCGCTAGCCTTGAGCTAAAGAGCTGAGGGACAGCACCCAGCCCAGAGTTCAGGCCCCACGACTGGACCCAAAAAAAAAAGACTAGGGCTCCACTACTTGAGCCACAGCTCCATTTCAGATTTTTTGCTGGTTAATTGGAAATAAGAGTTTCACAAACTTCCCTGTCTGGTCTGGCTTCTAACCATGATTCTCATGGTCTTAGCCTCTTGAATAGCTAGGATTACAGGTGTGAGCCACCAGCACCTGATTTCCCCAGTTATTTTATTGAAATGAAGTTTCATTCCTCCTGCCCCCAGTGGGGCCACAGCGCCACTTCCAGCTTTTTTCTTTTTGCTTATGTGATGCTGAGGAATCGAACCCAGGGCCTCAGGCATGCAAGGCAAGCGCTCTACCACTGAGCCACCTTCTCAGCCCCATGCCCCCAGTTCTTAACTGGCCTGAAACCACAATCATGATCTATACTTACCCAAATAGCTAGTACTATTGCATGTCTCTGTCTCTCTCTCTCTTTTTTTTTTGGCCAGTGCACAGAGCTTGAACTCAAGACCTTGAGCTCTTGTTCAACTTTCTTCTTCACAGAGGTTGCTCTGCCACTTGAGCCACTCATGCAAAGGCAAGAGCTTTCCCATTAAGCTATGTCCATAGTCCCTCTGATCATTTGATAGTCCAAGCAATGATATTTGGGGGCTCAAAAAGATTTTCTTCTACTAGAACTTTAAGGTTCTCTGTGATTAATAAAATGCTCAAAATGCTGTGGGTACTTTCAATATAACACATATATGAAATGTAACACATAAATTATCAGTTTCATAAAAATCCAGAGAACAGTCATTGTTAACAATGCTGCAGAGAGCATATAATAGCTGTCTTCCTGTGTGGGGTTCTCTACCTCTGCTCTTACCCCAAGCAGAGTTTAAAAGGTACTTTGAAAGGTTCCCTTTACTCATCATCTAAGCAACTTCTTCCTGAATATGTCAGATTGTCAGATTATACATAAGCTAAATATCTTCCAACACCATGAAGTACATTTATTCCCCTCACCCTCTAATAAAAATACCAGCTTACGTTGTACTTGGTGCTCTTCCAACTATTAATTATTGGATATTTTCACACAGTATCTCTGAAGTTAGATGGATAAATTGTTGGTGGTATATCCATTTTCCATGGGAAACGTGCTACAATAGTAGCTTAGGCATTATTACATGGCTAGTGAAAGAGTAAGTCCTGAATTTGATATTAGCATTCAGTATTCTGATTATCATGTTGTTTATTTAGCCCCCTTTTTATGTCTAGCACTAGTCTTGAAATTATCTCTAGTCCTTGTATCTTTGCTGCCAAGATATTTCCTGCCATGTTGCAATGTTCAAAAATGAGCCAGGCATATTAGAGGATTATGGTTCAAAGCTAGCCCAGGCAGAAAAGTCCCTGAGATTCCATCTCCAACTAACCAGCAAAAAAATCTGGGCTGTGGGCATGGCTCAAGTGGTAGAATGCCAGCAAAGAAAGGCAAACAAGAGCATAAGGCCCCTGAGTTCAAGCTGTGGTGTGAGGATGGGGGGCAAGGTGAGAGGGAAGACCCAAAAAGGTGAAATGGTTTACTAAAATTCATGTAGATTGCAAAGGACAGGTGAATAGTGCAGTTTTGTTGCTGTATTACTGCTTGATACACAAGAAATAATGCTAGTTTTTCAGGTTTGTGGATAGTGAACTGAGCAAGAGATTAGTGATTTTGTCTGTAAGCAGAATTCTCATAGGTGAGTTTTTGCCTACATCTAAGCTTTCATTTGGGAAGAACATACAGTTTAGTGTGCTGAAGGGGGCTGCTCCACCTTTGTTATTCTGCCAAATGCTGAATGTTAAAGCACATCTGACAGCTAAGCTCTCCTCAGGCCTTTGGCGCCCTTGCTGTAAAGGCAGGTGGTCTGAAGAAAGGCTCCCTCTAGGTTGTTGCACACTGTACACAACACATAGCAGTGCGAGACAACTGTCATTTCCTTCCTTCCCTCTCTCTACCCCTCCAGAAAACCGGGCCCCAGATGGAAGAGCTGGAAACATGTCAACTGTTCTCTGAAGGGCATTGAGAAAACACTGTCAGGGAGAAAAAAGGCAAGCGCAACAGCTCATTAGTCCACTAATCAGACAGGACAGCCATCAGTTTCACAAAAATGTCCTGGACAGAGAGATGGCAGGGGCTGACAGTTTTGCCCACATGGTTCTCAGAGGACTGCATATCCTTAAGAGGATTTGTAACATGGGGACTTGGCATCCTTGACTTTCTTTCTTCATTATATCCCTTTCCAAAAATAAGGCCACTGCAAACTGAAATGTAAAATAATACTTGGGGGATTTTTTTTTCCTCATTAGAACATGTTCTGCACAGAGATGCCTTCTGGTATCATGAACACTTTGGTATGGGTTGTCTTCATAGATGTGACTTCACAGAAAGGAAACTGCCTTTACATTCTCATTTCATCCTCTCCTACCTGTTCCTTGCACTTTAAATTGAGTCCGGCAGTTACTGAGATTGAAGACCTGGTGCTTAAGTGAAAAGCTTGGAATTACTAAGGAGCATAGATCGATATAAAGTGTTTATGTGTGTGTGCTTAAGACAGGATCCTGAGGGCCACATGCCAGGGGCTCATATCTGTAATCCTAGCTACTCAGGAGGCTGAGATCTGAGGATCTCAGTCCAAAGCCAGCCTGGGCAGGAAAGTCTGGGAGATTCTTATCTCCAGTTAACCACCAGAAAAAAAGTGGTGCTGTGGCTTAAAGTGGTAGAGCACTAACTTTGAGTTAAAGAGCCCAGGCCCAGAGTTCAGGCTCCACAACCAAAGTGGGGGAAAAAAAAAGATCCTGTTGCTATGTGTTTCTGACTGACCTCTAACTGTTGGGCTCAGTATCCTGCCTCAGCTTCCCCAAAAGCTGAGACTACAGACACATACCATTTTATATGTCAGAAAAATAACTTTTTTGCTAGGCACTGGTGGCTTATGCATGTAATCTCACCTACTCTGGAGGCTGAGATCTAAGGATTAAGGTTTGAAGCCAGCCCAGGCAGGAAAGTCCATGAAACCCTTACCGTCAATTAATCAACAAAAAGCCAGAAGTGAGTGTGTGGCTTAAGTGGTAGAGTGCTAGCCTTGAGCTAAAGATGAGCAAGAACAAGAGGTCCTGAGTTCAAGCCCTAGTACCAGCACACACCAAAAAACCACAACCCCCCCCAAAAAAAATCCCAAAAACCTTCTTTAAAAAGATAGTAGAATATTATCAAACATTATTTAGTCTTAGTCATATCAATTAGGACCTAATTAGAGATGCTAATTTTCAACTCTCCTTACTTAGTTGGTATGTATAAAAATTTAGTACATTGTTACTGGTAGTAATTTCTATATAACTGATTAAGAGTCTGTTCCATGTCATGCAGTTGAAACCTGGTCTAGACTCTAGAAAGTTCCTGTGTTCACTTCTTTCTCTAATTTGCTTTTTTTTTTGCCAGTGTTAGGGCTTGAACTCTGGACCTAAGCACTGTCTCTGAGTTTCTTTTACTCAAGGCTAGCGTTTTACCATTTAAGCCACAGCACCACTTCCAGGCTTTTCTTCTTCTCTTTCTTCTCCTTCTCCTTCTCCTTCTCCTTTTCCTTCTCCTCCTCCTCCTCTTCCTCCTCCTCCTCTTCCTCCTCTTCCTCCTCCTCTTCCTCCTCCTCCTCCTTCTTTTCTTCTTCTTCTTGTTAATTAGACATAAGAGTCTCATGGACTTTTCTGCCCAGGCTGGCTTTGAACTATGATCCTCAGATCTCAGCCTCCCAAGCAGCTAAAATTACAGGTATGAGCCACCAGATCCCAGCTCTGTCTGAACTTCCAACGGCTGCTGATAACCCTTAGCAGGTATTGGTTTGTAGGAACATTACTTCAGCCTATGCCTATATTCTCAAATGTTTTTTTCTGTGTGACTGTCTTCACATCTCCTCTCTGTGGATATTTCTGTCTTGTCTTTAAGGACACTATTCAAGTTGGATTTTTCTACCTGCCCAGATAGTCTATGGAGATTTCCTGAAAATCCTTAAGTATATCTTCAATCCTCCTTTTTCCAAATAAGGTATCATCAGAGATTTAGATGTTTGGTCATGGACACATGCACTCATTATACTAAGCATCTTCTCTTAGTCCTCTCGGAAAGCATATTGGTATTTCAAATTGTTGTTGCTATTTTTATTATCTTACAGAACTCTGACTTCCCACTTCTCTTATTCTCTGCAGTTGGTTCTGAGAAAAAAGTGCCAGCAATGCCTGGATCGCCTGCAGAAGTGAAAATACAGTCACGATCTTCACCTCCCAGCATGCCACCTCTCCCACCAATAAATCCTGGAGGGCCGAGGCCAGTGTCCTTTACTCCTACAGCATGTGAGATTGCTTAATTACTTGGATTTGTATTTTAGAATAATTGAATCTCATGACTGACTTCCATTGTCTTCCACATATACTATATAACATTTTCAAATTGCTATTCAAATATAAAGGCCAAGAATGGTGGTTCATATTTGTAATCTCAAGAGGCTAATACCAGAGGATTTCAAGGCCCAGTTCAATATATTAAGGTAGTACAATTATAGAAATAAGTATTCAGAGTGAGGCATATCTCAAGTGGTAGAGCACCTGCCTAGCAAGCACAAGGTCCTGAGTTCAAACCTTAATATTCCTATCACTCCCCCCCCCTCCAAAAAAAAAAAAGAAGGGAAAAGGAAAAACTACAGGGTAGCTCAAGCCTACAATTGTACCTACTTGGAAGGCAGAGACCTGGAGAATTATGCTTCTAGGCCAGCCCAGGGAAAAGTGTACAAGACTCCATCTCAACCAATTGTTAGGTATAGTATTATGCACATATCGTTCCAGCTATAAGTAGACAAATAATTCAGATCAACCAGGATATGAAGTGAAACAAAATAATGTAAAAAGGGGTGGTGGACTGGCTCAAGTGATAGAGTGCCGGCCTAGCAAGCTTGAGTATGTGAGTGCAGACCTGAATACTTCCAGCAACTGCTAGTTATGGAGATAAAATTCTTGGTGATTTATATGCCCTGGCTGGCCTCCAGTCTGAATACCCTCTACCTCACTTTTTTCTTTTCCTTCCTTCCTTCCTTCCTTCCTTCCTTCCTTCCTTCCTTCCTTCCTTCCTTCCTTCCTTCCTTCCTTCCTTCCTTCCTTCCTTCCTTCCTTCCTTCCTTCCTTCCTTCCTTCCTTCCTTCCTTCCTTCCTTCCTTCCTTCCTTCCTTCCTTCCTTCCTTCCTTCCTTCCTTCCTTCCTTCCTTCCTTCCTTCCTTCCTCCTTCCTTGCTTTTTTTAATTGTGAAAATACTGTACAGAGGGGTTACAATTACATGAGCAAGATAATGAGTACATTTCTTAGCAAGCATTGTAGCCTCCTCCTTTGTTTCCCCTTCTCATCCCTTCCCATCCTCCCCCTGCCCCTCCCCAATCCTCCCCGTCCCACCCTCCCCACCCCCCCCCACCCCCGCACCAAAGTTGTAAAGTTCATTTTCGACATAACGACTTGTACATCTCATTGTTGCAATGGGTCCACCTGTATCCCTATTTAAACGATTTGTTTTTCCCTTCCCCTCCACAAATTATACTGACATCAAATACAGTGAAAGCAGGGGTTATACTGTGGGGGAGGGACATACAAAGCAACGAAGAAATAATCTTATAAATGTGTTAGAAACAATCGCAAGAAAGAAAAAAAACATTTGACTTGCTTGCTTTTTTTGCGTAGTGTGTAGGCTAATTTCAAATCCAAGATCTTCCTGCCTCAACAGGAACTGTAAGTGTACTCCACCACACATAGCTTCTCTGCTTTTACAGCACTGTACATTTCTGGGCTACTTTTTGTTAGGTTGCTTATTTTCATTATTGCCAAGCTGGGATCACACTCCTGGGCTCTATCAGTCCTCTCTACTCAGCCTCCCAGTGTCTGGGACTTATAGGTACCTGCCACCACAATTTGCTTTACATTTTTGTTTAACAGTTTTTTAAAACCACACAGTCTGTCTGAATATATAGCAATCTTATTGAGAACAGAAACAGAATACTTACTTAACATCTGCTTTGCAAAGTTTCAGTGAAAGAAAACAGGAGAAGAAATCAACCAGTGACGCTTGTATTCTGCACTTAAACTCAGTCATTTTGGCTCTCTTGTAGTAAGCAATGGCATCAGCCATTCTCCTCCTACTTTGAATGGTGCTCCTTCACCACCACAGAGATTCAGCAATGGTCCTGCCTCTTCCACATCATCTGCACTAACAAATCAACAATTGCCAGCCACTTGCGGTGCCAGACAACTCAGCAAGTTGAAACGCTTTCTCACCACTTTGCAACAGTTTGGCAATGACATTTCCCCTGAGATTGGGGAGAAGGTTCGGACTCTTGTTCTAGCATTGGTGGTAAGTACACTACAAAGTACCGCATCACTGTTGATGGCTGCCTGAGTTCATGGCTCAGGTCTACAGCCAGCAGAGAAATTGTTTTTGCTTGTTCCCAAACCTGTAGAAATGTGGTAGATTCTACAGACTAGATTAGTTAATAATAAATAAATAAATAAATAAATAAATATATATATATATATATATATATATATATATATATATATATATATATAACACGCAGTTGAATTGGCTATTTCATGATAATAGTGCATTAAAAAACAAAGTCTATAATGATTTTCTTATTGCTTAAGGTACTAATTTAATGCCAATAAGCAGCTTTGAATTTGTCTTAAAACTGTTTTCAACAATCCTGCTGAGATCCAACCAAGTTAATGCAAGGTTTTTTGTAATTTAATATATTCGGTGGCTGGTGCATTATTTCCAAACCAAAGAGAATAAAAAAGTAGCCATTTTAATTTTTGAAATGATTGGTAAAATTGTAAGTTTCATAGTCTAAACATATAGTATCAAAGTGATTACATTGTTCAGCTCCTCTTGTGTGTGTGTGTGTGTGTGCGTGTGTGTGTCTTTATTTAGAATTTTCAAGGTATGTGTGATTTTCTTTGGTACTGATCATGGTGAGGCTGTACTATGGAGGATGATTTTCTGAATTGATTGAGGAGAGAGATTTAACTCTGAATTTAGAAGGGAAATGTTATCACTTTTTTTGGTGGGGGGGGTCTGGTCGTGGGGTCTGAACTCTGGGCCTGGGCGCTGTCCCTCAGCTCTTCAGCCCAAGGCTAGCGCTCTACTACTTGAGCCACAGCACCACTTCTGGCTTTTTTCTTTTTGCTTATGTGGTGAGGAATCGAACCCAGGGCCTCAGGCATGCAAGACAAGCTCTCTACCACTGAGCCACCTTCCCAGCCCCATTATCACTTTTTAATCACTTTTTTTTTTTTATCACTTTTTCCCCAGTACATTACATCGTCTATGTTCTTGCTTGGTGCCTCTATGCATGGTGGGAAAAAAAAATTAAAAACCAAACCTTTAAAGTCTCATTTTTGGCCAGGTGCCGGTCCTAGCTACTCAGGAGGCTGAGATCTGAGGATTGTGCTTAAAGCCAGCCGGGGCAGGAAAGTCCATGAGACTCTTATCTCCAATAAGACCATTAGAAAACCAGAAATGGTACTGTGGCTCAAGTGGTAGAACACTTGCCTTCAGCTGAAGAGCTGAGGGACAGCACTCAGGCCCAGAGTTCAAGCCCCAGGACAATAAAAAAATGTCTCATTTTTGAAAGTGTAATTCAAGGGAGACTCTTAAGGTTCCCATGATCCTTAGGGAGGTCTAGGAAAAAACTACTTTTATAATGCTACTACTAAGATTTACTGCCTTTTTATTCTTATTCTCTCAAGGGTGGGCAGTGGAATTTTCTAGGGACTACAGGACATGAGATTATTACAAAGTAGTAAATGCAGATAGTAGAATCAAGCTGTCCTCTATCATGCTAGAGGGCTGGCAGCTCGTGCCTATATTCCTAGCTACACAGGAGGTTGAGATCTGAAGATTAAGGTTTGAAGCCAACCCTGCCAGGACAGTCACAACCGATTAGCCACCTGAGCTGCTCAAGTGGTACAATGCTAGCCTGAAGCAAAAGAAGCAAAGGGACACTGCCCAGGTCCTGAGTTCAAGTCTCAGGATCAGCAAAGGAATGAATGACTAAACGAATGTTTAGATACACTTTTCATAACCAGAAACAGAATCACTGGGGTTTTTTTGTTAGTTTGTTTTTACAGTTGAGCTTCTAACACTTCTTTTTACTTTGGAAATTATCGTTAAGCACAGACCTTACTTAAAGTAATTTGCTGCTGAAATGGGCATAACATTCAGAGAGCTTCTACCATTAAGGAAGCAGTTAACCTTTGAGTGAGGTCTCAATTCAGGGTTCAGTATTGTGAGACTGTATTCAGTTTTAGAAACTGAACATTATCTTTTCAGAACTCAACAGTGACAATTGAAGAATTCCATTGCAAGCTCCAGGAGGCCACAAACTTTCCTCTTCGTCCCTTTGTGATTCCATTTCTCAAGGTAACAGTGGGAACCACAGAACATAATTTATCTTCAGCATTTCCTCAGAATCTTCCTGATCACTGTTCTGCCATGCAAATCAGGATAGCTCTCTACATTTTCATATGTTTGTTTTATTTTGGGCTGGTAGAGAGGTGTGAGTGCAATCTGTAAATAACTCTCCTGCATGATGAGATGCAGATTGCAAAAGCCTTGAGTGTGGTCTGTGGGCAGACACTGTTGGTAATGCAAAGAATAAGAACAAGCAAGTACTAGAAGGAGGAGGGGTAAGTAGTCTGGAGGTGGAAAAAGTATGGGCTTTATAACAGAGTGTGTTATATGAGAGGAGAGGCCTGTGCACTTGTGATTTGCCACAAGGATAGGAGGATGTGAGAAGGCAGTTTTTTTCTCCCTAAGCCCCAGGTAACCTAGTCTTACATTCATGTCCTCTGGAATTTCATTTCCTGAAATAAATTTTTAGGTTACTGTTTTAAATCATTGTGTTTATTTACCTGATGTAACTGAGGTAGTGTTACATTTATACAGCTGACCTTTTAGAAAGCTTTTATTTTGGGCTGGGAATATGGCTTAGTGGTAGAATGCTTGCCTAACATGCATGAAGCTGAGTTCAATTCCTCAGTACGACATACATAGAGAAAGCCAGAAGTGGCTTTGTGGCTCAAGTAGTAGAGTGCTAGCCTTGAGTAAAAATAAGCTCAGGGACAGTGCCCAGGCAGGCTCTGAGTTCAAGCCCCAGGACTGGCAAAAAAAAAACAAAACCCAAAACTTTTATTTTGAAATAATTTCAAACTCACAGATGAGCTATAAAATGGTATAATAAAACTTCTATATAGCCTTTATCCACATTCCTTAAATGTTAACATAATATTATTACATTTCATCATCATTCTCTATTTTTCTCCCAAAATACTTGAGAATAAAAAAGCTACAGACATGGTTAATGTAAATACAACTAACCAATCAGAAAATTAAGTTTTGATTCCACACTATTACTAGTCTATGGACTTATTTATCTTTCATTAGTGTCCCACTTATGTGCTTTATAGCAAAACAAAACTTTTTGTAGAAGTTCTCAGGTTCAACCTTAGGGATTCATGCATCCTAGTCAGACACTCTACAATTTGAGCCACAACACCACTTCTGGCTTTTTCTGCTTATGTGGTGCTGAGGAGTCAAATCCAGGGCCTCATGCATGCCAGGCAAGCACTCTACCACTAAGCCACCTTCCCAACCCATGTTTTTTCTTTTTGAGATAAAGTCTTATTATATAGATCATACTATCCTAAAACATCATAATCCTCTTGCCTCAGCTTACCACAGATAGTGATTACAGGTATATACCACTATGTCCAACATAATGCCACTTTTTAAAAATGTTTTGAGGGGCTGGGAAGGTGGCTCAGTGGTAGAGTGCTTGCCTTGCATGCATGAGGCCCTGGGTTCGATTCCTCAGCACCACATAAGCAAAAAAAAAAAAAGAAAGAAAAAAGCCGGAAGTGGTGCTGTAGCTCAAGTGGTAGAGCACTAGCCTTGAGCTGAAGAGCTGAGGGATAGCACCCAGGCCCAGAGTTCAGGCCCCACGACTGGACCCCCCCAAAAAAAAAAAAAAAAAGTTTTGATCCGGGCTCTGTTGGCGCATGCCTATAATCCTAGCTACTCAGGAGGCTGAGATCTGAGGATCATGGTTCAAAGCCAGCCTGGGCAGGAAAGGCCGAGAGTCTCTTATCTCCAATTAATCACCAGAAAACTGAAAGTGGCACTGTGGCTCAAAGTGATAGAGCACTAGCTTTGAGCAATAGAGCTCAGGGACAGCACCCAGGTCCTGAGTTCAAGCCCCACAACTGACCAAGAAAAAAAAGTTTAGAATTGGCTCATAGTGGGCATATAGAGGAAGATGTACAGGCCCATGTGTGGCTATATTCTAATACTGTGCAAGACCTAGCTGCTCAAAGCAGTCCTTGAAACTTTTCTAGTTCTGAAACAGCTGCATGTCAGAACCAGTAAACAATTATTCTCTAAGATTCTGGAATCAAGAAAGATTCCTGAAATTTGTATTAATAGAAAATAATTTGTGCTTTTCTCTCCTTCTTTTTTTCTTTTTTAACCAAAGGATATATGCCACAAATGCAAACATAACTTTTTTTCAGTTCAGTTTTTACAGGTGCAATAAGATTGAGGTTAGAGAACAGACCTAAAGTGTTTTATACTGTTAAATTCTCTATTCTTAACTCTGTTATTTTGGAAAACAGCATGAGGTAGGTTGTTATGGCAGCTTTTTGGCTAGCATTTGGGGTTTTGTCAATTTATTTCTGCTTTAAAACAGTCGCTAATTATGGTGCCTACCAAATTAACCCTCAGCAAGGGGATGACTACTTGCATGTATTAAAACTCCTTTTGCTTGCTCATCTGTCCCTTGAGAATAAACTTCTGTTTCAGGCTCAGCCTGGATTATGCTTAAATAGGGAAAGAAAAATATTGTTCTTTTTTTTTTTAATAAAAGAAATATAGGGAACATAAATCCTGGTGTTTTTTTTTTGTTTTTTTTTTTTGGGGGGGGGGTCCGGTTGTGGGGCCTGAACTCTGGGCCTGGGCACTGTCCCTCAGCTCTTCAGGTCAAGGCTAGCACTCTACCACTTGAGCCACAGGGCCACTTCTGGCTTTTTTTTTTTTTTTTCTGTTTATGTGGTGCTGAGGAATCGAACCCAGGGCCTCAACCATACAAGGCAAGCGCTCTACCACTGAGCCACCTTCCCAGCCCAAATCCTGTTTATGAAAGTAGAATTCTGTGGTTTAAAAGATACATGGAGGGCTGGGAAGTTGGCTTAGTGGTAGAGCGCTTGCCTTGCATGCCTGAGGCCCTGGGTTCCATTCCTCAGCACCACATAAGCAAAAAGAAAAAAGCCGGAAGTGGCGCTGTGGCTCAAGTGGTAGAGCACTAGCCTTGAGCTGAAGAGCTGAGGGACAGTGCTCAGGCCCAGAGTTCAGGCCCCACAACCGGACCAATAAATAAACAAGCAAACAAATAAATAAATGATACATGGAATTTTTTTTGTGTGCTGGTCCTTGGGCTTAAACTCAGGGCCTGGCCACTGTCCCTGAGCTGTTTTTTTTTTTTTTTTGTCGGTTGTGGGGCTTGAACTCTGGGCCTGGGTGCTATCCCTCAGCTCTTCAGCTCAAGGCGAGCGCTCTACCACTTGAGCTACAGCGCCACTTCCGGTTTTCTGGTGGTTTATTGGAGATAGGAGTCTCACGGTCTCTCCTGCCCGGGCTGGCTTTGAACCGCGATCCTCAGATCTCAGCCTCCTGAGTAGCTAGGATTACAGGCATGAGCCACCAGCGCCCGGCTTCCCTGAGCTGTTTTGTTCAAGGCTATAGCGCTCTACCACTTTAAGCCACATCTTCTGACTTTTTTTTTTTGTAAGAACGAATGTATTTTATTTCACTGATTAGTGATTTTCCAATAATATTTTAATTAAATCACCATAACATACTGGCTTTTTGATGGTTTATTAGAGATAAGAGTCTCACAGAGCTAGGTGCTGGTTGGCTCATACCTGTAATCCTGTCTACTCAGAAGGCTTAGATTTGAGGATTGCAGTTCAAAGCCAGCTCGGGCAGGAAAGTCCATGAGACTCTAATCTCCAATAAACCACCAGAAAACTGGAAGTGGCACTGTGGCTCAAATGGTAGAGCACTAGTCTTGGGCTGAAGAGTTCAGAGACAGACCAGGCCCAGAGTTCAAGCCGCACAACCAAAAACACAAAAACAAAGACTTAGGAGATCCAGAAAATCATGATTCAAAGCCAGACCAGGAAGAAATCTCTCTTCAAGACTCATCTCTAAAATAACCATCAAAAAGCAGGACCAGAGTGAGCAAACTGAACAAATTCTAGTCCCTGAGTTTAAACCCCAGTACTACACAGAAAGGAAAAAAGAAAAATGTATGTTTTGAAATTATGTGGTCAACAAATCTTTTTTTTTTCTTCTGGTCATTGTGGGACTTGAACTCAGGGCCTGGGTCCTGAGCTCTTTTACTCAAGGCTAACTTTTATCACTTTGAGCCACAGCTTCACATCCTGTTTTTTGATGGTTAATTAGAGATAAGAATCTCCCAGACTTTTCTACCTGGACTGGCTTCAAACTGTGATCCTCAGATCTCAGACTCCTGAGTAGATATGATTACGGGCATGAGCTACCAGCGCCCAGCTGGTCAACAAATCTTTATTAAGCTTTGACTCTGTACTAGTCCACAAAGGTAGATAATTAAATTACAGCCTCTTCCTTTAAGGGGGTTGACATCTTGTGCAACAAACAAGTGAACCAGTAGTTGAGATATGGAATAAGAGATGTCACTTTACTCACTAAAATGTCTGGTGAAAGATTAGTAGGTAGAGGATTGATACTGCTTGGTAAGAGCCCTTTGAGGTGCTAATCCCTGTGAAGTAGGCTCAGTACTATTTCTGCCCCTTCTTTTCAGGCCAACCTGCCACTGCTACAGCGAGAACTGTTGCACTGTGCCCGGGCTGCCAAGCAGACCCCATCCCAGTACCTAGCGCAACATGAACACCTTCTGCTCAACACCAGCATTGCGTCTCCAGCTGACTCTTCCGAGCTACTCATGGAAGTACATGGAAATGGGAAAAGGCCCAGTCCAGAGAGGTGAGCAGAAAGGAGATTTGTTGACCTTGGCTTTCTGGATCCACTGTGATTCAGCCCTTTGCATGTGGAAGAGAGAATTTGATTGCTGGGTTGTAGCTATATAATATCTCAGACCTTCCAAGGTTGTTTTCTGCTTTGTTCCAACAGTGCTTAACTCCTGATGAGAAACTCTGCTCTGGATAGGTCCACTACTGTGGAAGCAGCACAGCACTCAGCTTCTTCTAGTTTTCCTCCTATACATCAAGCACAGTCCATTCTGGTTGGACACTAGTTGATTGTCCTTCCGTTGTGACACTAACTACCTAGAGATAAAACAGCAGACAAGTTCCAAGGCTCTGTCTTCAGGACACTCTCCTTCCTTCAGATACCAGTTTCAAATCCTGGGTTGTGATTGTGAATACTGTCTGTTCAAATAAACACACCATTTTTGTGCTTTCCTGTTTCTAACTAGTGTAAATCAGGCTTTCTGCAACCTTTCTCAGTTTTGATTAATTTGTTCTGTGGCTCACAGGTCTCAGGAAGCACTAGCATGTACTGGATTATTATAAAGGATATTACACAGAGTACTGATAGACATGGGCTGAGGAGATGCAAAGTGCAAGGCATGGAAGAGGAAGGACATGGAGCTGCCATGCCTCTCCTTGTGAACTGCCATTCATTAGGAACCTCCACAGGTTCAGCTCTCCAGAAGTTTTTTTGCCTGTTCTTTAAGTTTGTATGTAAGAGATAATGATTAGATGGCTGTGAACATCAGTAGAAATTTTGTTATAGGTGAAGCTGATTGACGGAAAACTCTAGTCACAGAGGATTAATTGTATGATTTTTCCCCCAATAATTATCCTCCACATTTAGAAGTTTAATTTTAAAATTTTCCTAAACATTGCTGGACACTAATGGCATATTCCTATAATCCTAGCTACTCAAGAGTCTGAGATCTGAAGATCAAAATTCAAAGCCAGCTTGGGCATACAAATCCAAGAGACTCATCTCCAGTTAACCAACAAAAAGCCAGAAGTAGAAATGTGGCTTAACTAGTAGAGCAGCACCAGCCTTAAACAAAAAGAGCTAAGCAAAAGCAAAAGGCCCTGTGTTCAAGCCCCAGTTATCAGCACAAAAAAACAAACAAAACACTAAATATCGTTGAGCCCACAATCCTCCATATCTCTATTATAGGAAAATGCTGTCTTTTAGACTAATGAGGATCAGATGGGTTTGCCTAGTATATGGGTTTGACCTCTCTTTAGCAATTTGCAATTTGTAACTAGTCCCTAGAGATAATTTAGTTCATGCCTTATGCCAAACTTCCTAAGCCTCTGCCACATATTTCCCTTTTTTGGTGCCAGTACTAGGGCTTCAACTCACGGTTTCTCATTCTTAATTTCATTTATTAATTTTGTTTATATGGTACTAAGGAATCGAACCCAGGGCCTCATGCATGCTAGTCAAGCACTCTACCACTAAGCCATATTCCTAGCCCATATCCATGAAACTCTTATCTCCAATTAACCACCAGAAAACTGGAAGTAGTGCTGTGGCTCAAAGTGGTGGAGTGCTAGCCTTGAGCAAAAGAGCTCAGGGACAGTGCCCAGGCCGTGGTACATAAAGTGCATAGAGGAAGGCTGGAAGGTGGCTCAGTGGTAGAGTGCTTGCCTTGCATGCATGAGGCCCTCAGTTTGATTCCTCAGCACCACATAAGCAGAAAAAGCCAGAAGTGGGGCTGAGGCTCAGGTGGTAGAGCACTGGTCTACAGCTGAAGAGCTGGGGGGACAGCGCTCAGGCCCAGAGTTCAGGCCCCACAACCAACAAAACAAACAAATAAATAAAATGCATAGAGGCCAGGTGCTGGTGGCTTACACCTGAAACCCTAGCTACTCTAGAGACTGAGATCTGAGGATTTCAGTTCAAAAACAAAAAACAACCTGGGCAGGAAAATCCATGAGACTTTAATTTCCAATTAAGCACCAAAAAATCAAGAAATGGGGCTGCACCTCATTGACAGAGCACTAGCCTTGAACAAAAAGCTCAAGAACAGCACCCAGGGACTGAGTTCAAGCTCCAGGACAGGTGTGGGGGTATACACAAAATCGGTGCTTGGAAATATAGGTACTTGCTCACATGTTCAGATGTGCACCTCTGGTTTTTCTGCAGAAGAGAAGAGAGTAATTTTGAAAGAGATACAATTCCTCCTGAGCCTCCTGCCAAGAGAGTATGTACCATCAGTCCTGCTCCTCGACACAGTCCTGCCCTCACTGTGCCCCTCATGAATCCTGGGGGCCAGTTTCACCCCACTCCTCCACCTCTTCAGCACTATACCTTAGAAGATATCGCAACTTCTCACCTGTATCGGGAGCCGAACAAGATGCTAGAACACCGAGATGTTCGTGAGAGGCACCACAATCTTAGTAAGTGACTTATGCGGCATGGGAATGCTTTAAGTACAGGCAGAATCTAGGAATTTCTTTTCTTCTTATTGATAAAGCCAAAGAATACCATTGCTTTTTTTTAACTACTGATAAAATAAAACTATTGTACAGCCAGGTGTGATAGTGCACTCCTGTAAATTAAGTGCTCCTTAGGAATAAGGATCATAAATGCTAGGCCATCCTGGGCTACATAACAAGTTGCTTTCCAAAACAAACGATACATAAAAGGGATTATTATAACTGTAATTTATCCTATGTGGTATTTAGCTCCCTTTATGTTTTGTTGCTATCTTCATTACGATATTGCTAGAAATAGAATATTATCCACATGGAAATCTGAAAAGTAAGTCAACTTTTAAAAAAATAGGAAAGTGAATATAGTGGTAAATGTCAACTGGATGTGGTGGTGCGCACCAATCCAAATACTTGAGAAACTGAGCCAGGAGGATCATAAGCCTTGACTACATAAGCAAGACCTGTCTCAGATCTTCCAAAACAAAAACCAAAATGAACAAATTCTATGAAACACACTGGAATAAAGAATAAAGTTGTCTGGTGTTGTGGAGCATATCTGTTAAAAAAGTAAAAATATGTTGTCTTTTGAGGTAGAAGTACCAGTCCCACCAAAAAAAGTAAAATAATGATCAACTCATTCAAAGTAGCCTGATTCTGAGATACTACATTCCTAGAAATTTTGTAAATAGATTAAATATTAGTGATACTCAGCTGTTTCCAATCCACACTCTAATTCTGATTGTTAAACAGTTCATATTGCAGCAGAGAGAGAGGCAGAGAGAGAGATTGGCTTACAGGCATGAGCCACTGGAACTTGGCTGTCCCTGAGATTTTTTTGCTCAAGGCTCTAGTTTTCTACCACTTGAGGTATACACAGCTCCACTTCTGGCTTTTTGGTTGTTAGTTGGAGATAAGAGAATTACAGATTTTCTTACCCAGACTGGCTTTGAACAGATTTTTGCATCCTGAGTAACTATGATTACAGGTGTGAGCCACTGGTGCCTGACTAACCTATTCATTTTCTTTCTTTTTTTTTTTTCTTTCACTGATACCAGGACTTGTACTCAGGGTCTTGTACTTCTAACAACTAACACTCTAACACTTAAGCCATTTCTCCAGCCTTTTTTTTTTTTAATGCTGGTCCTGGGTCTTAAACTCAGGGCCTGGATACTGTCTCTGAACTTTTTTGCTTTAGTCTAATGCTACAGCTCTACTTCCTGCTTTTTGGTGGTTAATTGGAGATAAGAGTCTCATGGACTTTTTTGCTAGGGTTATCTTTGAGCTTCATTCCTCCTGGTCTCATCCTTCTGAGTCAAGTTCCACCATCCTGAGTAGCTAGGATTGTAGATATAAGCCACTGACACCTGGCTCTGTTTGTTTTTATGGAACAATTGATTTGTTGGAGTAGATGCCCCATTCCAGTGCTGGGGATCAAATCAAGGATCTTTTTTTTTTCCCCTCCGGCCCTCTCCCCCCAAACCAAGGATCTTATACAATAATATAAACTAGTCAAGCATTCTACTACTGAGCTATACTCGTAATCCCTGACTTTGTTTAATCTGAATACTAACCCTTTGTTATTATATCATTTTGTGGGTCCCACACCCTATTTTGAATCATTCTCTTAATAACATGCTCTTAGTTGGAAGTAATGTGTATTTATTTAGCCTGATAGAATCTGGTTCTCATTATTCTTCCTAGTGTCCTCAAATGTAATCTCTAATTTTTAATAGGTATAAATGGAAGCTATCAAGATGAGTTGGTAGACCACCGTTTGACAGAAAGGGAATGGGCTGATGAATGGAAACATCTTGACCATGTAAGGATTATAGCTTACATGTTTAATTTCCCTAACGTTCTAATTGTTAATGTTACCAGTCATTTAAATGTGCTTGAAGTTAACATAGCAAGAGCCATTTTTAACAAAAGCTGGTTTATGCACTATTCATTCAGCTGGAGAGCAACAGAATCCCTCTCAAGTCTTGATGGTGAGGTGATCTCTTCAAGTCATCAGACAAATTGTCATTTAAGAAATAATAAAGAAGCCGGGCGCTGGTGGCCCACCCCTGTAATCCTAGCTACTCAGGAGGCTGAGATCTGAGGATCACGGTTCAAAGCCAGCCCGGGCAGGAGAGACCGTGAGACTCCTATCTCCAATAAACCACCAGAAAACCGGAAGTGGTGCTGTAGCTCAAGTGGTAGAGCGTTCGCCTTGAGCTGAAGAGCTAAGGGACAGCGCCCAGGCCCAGAGTTCAAGTCCCACGACCAACCAAAAAAAAAAAAAAAGAAAGAATAAAGAAAAGGCTTGTGGCCAGGTGCCAGTGGCTCATGCTTGTAATCCTAGCTACTCAGGAGGCTGAGATCTGAGGATCGCAGTTCAAAGCCAGCCTGGGCAGGAAAGACTGTGAGACTCCTATCTCCAATAAACCACTAGAAAACTGGAAGTGGCGCTGCAGCTCAAGTGGTAGAGTGCTCGCCTTAAGCTGAAGAGCTGAGGGACAGCGCCCAAGCCCAGAGTTCAAGCCCCACGACAGACAAAAAAGAAAAAAGAGTTCAGCTTTGCTGATTCTTGCCTTTGTTTTTTGTTTTTGTTTTTGTTTTTTGTTTTTTTGTTGGTCGTGAGGCTTGAACTCTGTTCCTGGGCATTGTCCTCTGTGCCTGGGCATTGTCCCTCAGCTCTTCAGCTCAAGGCGAGCACTCTACCTCTTGAGCTACAATCCCACTTCCAGTTTTCTAGTGGTTTTTTATTAGAGATAAGAGTCCCACAGACTTTCCTGCCCAGGCTAGCTTTGAACCATGATCCTCAGATCTCAGCCTCCTGAGTAGCTAGGATTACAGGCATGAGCCACCAGCGAACCGGCTTGATTCTTGCCTTTATGATCAGAATAAAAAGTCCTTTTTGCTGTTGTTATTATTTGTGTGGGTCATCATCTCACGCCAGGTCCCTATCCTTGAGCTTTTCACTTTTTCAAGTGTGGTAGGGGGGCTGGGAAGTTGGCTCAGTGATAGAGCACTTACCTTGCATGCATGAGGCCCTGGGTTCGATTCCTCAGCACCACATAAGCAGAAAAAGCTGGAAGTGGTGCTGTAGCTCAAGTGGTAGAGTACTAGCATTGAGCTGAAGAGCTGAGGGACAGTGCCCAGGCCCAGAGTTCAGGCACCATGACTGGCAAAAAAAAAAAAAAAAAAAGCAAGTGTGGTAGGCTGGTGCTCTACCACTTGAGCCACAGCTCTACTTGGAGTTTTTTTTTTTTAACAAAAAAACAACAACTGATTAATTCGAAATAAGCATCTCCCAAATTTTCCTGTACAGCTGGCTTCAAACTGTGATCCTCACCTCAACTCCTGAGCAACTAGGATTACAGGTGTGAGCCATCAGTGCCACCTAGCTATTTCTTCTTTTTTCTTTTTTTTTTTTTTTTTCTTGAGGGGGGGGGGGTCTGGTCGTGGGGCCTGAACTCTGGGCCTGGGCGCTGTCCCTCAGCTCTTCAGCTCAATGTTAGTGCTCTACCACTTGAGCCAAGCGCCACTTCCAGCTTTTTTCCTTTTGCTTATGTGGTGCCAAGGAATCAAACCCAGGGCCTCATGCATGCAAGGCAAGCACTCTACCACTGAGCCACCTTCCAGCCCCTAGCTATTTTTTCTTCTTAATATTTGTCCCTGGTCCTTATTACTCAGGCCCATTGCATTACTATAAAAATCTGTTTTTTGTAAGTGGAGCTGTGACTCTGGGTGGAGTGATAGACTTGAGCACAAAAACTTAGAGACAGCACCCAGGCACTGAGTTCAAGCCCCAGGCCCCTCACACCAGATTTATCAAATAACTTGGTATATTTAGACAGATATTTAGTATTGTTAATCATAGTCTTTTTGTTTGTTTGTTTGTTTTTGTTAGTCATGGGGCCTGAACTCTGGTCCTGGGCGCTGTCCCTCAGCTCTTCAGCTCAAGGCTGAACTATACACTCTACCATTTGAGCCACAGCACCACTTCTGGCTTTTTCTGCTTCTGTGGTGCTGAGGAATTGAACCCAGGGCCTCATGCATGCAAGGCAAGCACTCTACCACTGATCCACCTTCCCATCCCTAATCATAGTCTTTAGTAGACCATGTTAATAATAATAATAAAAGGCCATGTTATAATAAGATTGTATGCCTGCGTTCACCTTGAAGAATCCTAAGAAGCACTCTGAAATCTGAAAAGCAAAGTCATATCATAATAACTTTTCAGTCAGTGATAAGTTAGATTTAAGAAGGTGAGAGGCTGGGAAGGTGGCTCAGTGGTAGAGCGCTTGCCTTCCATGCCTGAGGCCCTGGGTTCAATTCCTCAGCACCACATAAGCCAAAAGAAAAAAGCCGGAAATGGCACTGTGGCTCAAGTGGTAGAGAGCTAGCCTTGAGCTGAAGAGCTGAGGGACAGTGCCCAGGCCCAGAGTTCAGGCCTCACGACCGGACCTTCCCCCCCCCCCCCCCAAAAAAAAAGATTTAAGAAGGTGATCTCTAGCTGGGTGCAAGTTGCTCACACCTATAGTCCTAACTATTCAGGAGGCTGAGATCTGAGGGTTGTGGTTCAAAGACAGACTGGGCAGGAACATCCATGAGACTCTTTATCTTCAATTAACCACCAGAAAACCAGAAATGGCACTGTAGCTCAAGTGATTAGAGTGCTCACTTGAGTTGAAGAGCTGAGGGACAGACCAGGCCCAGAGTTCAAGCCCCATGACCAACAAGACCAAAAAAAAAAAAGAATATATCTTCTGCTAACAACATAGCTGTCTTTGGGTAAACACTCTGTGATGTTCATACCACAAAGAAATTGTCCAGTAGCCGGGTGCTGGTGGCTCACGCCTGTAATCCTAGCTACTCAGGAGGCTGAGATCTGAGGATTGAGGTTCAAAGCCAGCCCGGGCAGGAGAGACCGTGAGACTCCTATCTCCAATAAACCACCAGAAAACTGGAAGTGGCGCTGTAGCTCAAGTGGTAGAGCACTCGCCTTGAGCTAAAGAGCTGAAGGACAGCGCCCAGGCCCAGAGTTCAAGCCCCACGGCCAACCAAAAAAAAAAAAGAAATTGTCCAGTGATGTAATTCTCAGAACATATCCATTTCAGTGTATGTGTGCACACAATTGGCTCTCTATCCACAGATTTCACTTCCATGAGTTTGATACTACTGGGCAAGTTAGCCAACTATGAACAGAAAATATTCAGAGAAAAAGCTGAATGTGATAGCTTAAGCTTGTGATCCTTGAAAGACAGGGAGTTGATCCTGAGTAGAAGCCAGTCTAGAGAGTCTCTCTTTTTTTGTTGTTTTTTTGTTTTTCTTTTTTCCAGTCCTGGGTTTGAACTCAGGGCCTGAGCACTGTCCCTGAAGCCTCTTTATGCTCAAGGCTAGCACTCCACCACTTGAGCCACAGCACCATTTCCAGTTTCTTCTAAGTAGTTTAGTAGAGATGAGAGTCTCATAGACTTTCCTGCCTGGGTTATCTCTGAATGGTGATCCTCATCCTCGCGAGTAGCTAAGATTATAGGCATGAGCCACCAGCAACCAGCTAGAAATTCCCTCTTAATGAATAATAGCTTCCCTCTTTAACGTGGCTTCTCAGTGACAGAGGGAAACACAAATAGAATCACAGTCCAGACGAGCACAGCAATAAAGCAAGACCTTTACCTTGAAAATAATGCAAAAAGACTCTGGCAGAACATCCCCAAGTAGTAGAATGCCTGCTTAGCAAGCATGAGGCTGAGTTCAAATCATAGTTTGAAAACGAAAATATTCAAAGAAAAAATGAATTTTTATTCCTTAACAGCATAACAATTACTTTCATAGTATTTATATTAGGTAATCAGAGCAATCTGCGATGTAAATATATGGGAGGGAAATACATTTTATTTGCAAATGCTACATTATTCACTTAGCAACTTGAATATCCATGACATTTAGTATCTGCTTTGGGTCCTGGAAGCAAATCTCTGTGGATATGAAGGGATTTCTGTATATATTTAGCTAGAAGGTATAAGAAAGGCTTTCAGATGTATACTGCTATAATTTCTTATAATTTTTATATTGTTTAACCTAGCTTTGATTTTTCAGTATTCATTGTTAAATTTCTTTGTCCCATCTCTAACTTCCTCCACGGTTCAGGCTCTGAATTGCATTATGGAAATGGTAGAGAAAACGAGGCGTTCCATGGCAGTTCTGAGGCGCTGTCAGGAGTCTGATCGGGAAGAACTCAACTACTGGAAGAGACGATTTAATGAAAACACAGAGATGAGAAAAACGGGAACGGAGCTGGGCTCCAGGCAGCACAGCCCTGGGAGTGCAGATTCTCTCAGCAACGGTAAGGGCCAAGGCCTAATATGGTGGGAAGCACAGAAGGAATAGCAGCCTGTAGATTCCACCTAATAAGGCAAATGGAGGGTGTGGTTTTATTTATTTGTTTTTTGATAGTACTCAGTGTAGACCTTGGGGCCTCACACTTGCTAGGTCAGCACTGTTCTTTCCATTTTGTTTTGGTTCTTTTGTTTTGTTTTTAAAACAGAAAGTTGGTTTATAGCTCAGGATGGCCATGAACTTAAAATCCTGTGCCTCAGCCTCCCAAATGCTGGGATAATAAGCATGTATCACCACACCCAACCAGCAAGTCTGATTTACTTTTTTTTTTTTTCTGCCAATCCTGGGGCCTGAACTCAGGGCCTAAGCACTGTCCCTGAGCTTTTTTTTTTTTTTTTTTTTTTTGCTCAAGACTAGCACTCTGCCACTTGAGCCACAGCACCACCTCCAGCTTTTTCTATGTATGTAGTACTGAGGAATTGAACCCAGGGCTTCATGCATACTACTAGGCAAGCACTCTACCACTAAGGCACATTCCCAGTCCAAGTCTGATTTACTTTTTTTTTGGTTGGTCGTGGGGCTTGAACTCTGGGCTTGGGTGCTATCCCTCAGCTCTTCAGCTCAAGGCAAGCGCTCTACCGATTGAGCCACAGCACCACTTCTGGTTTTCTAGTGGTTTATTGGAGATAAGAGTCTCACAGACACCGGGCGCTGGTGGCTCACGCCTGTAATCCTAGCTACTCAGGAGGCTGAGATCTGAGAATCGCGGTTCAAAGACAGCCCGGGCAGGAAAGACCGTGAGACTCCTATCTCCAATAAACCACCAGAAAACCGGAAGTGGTGCTGTAGCTCAAGTGGTAGAGTGCTCGCCTTGAGCTGAAGAGCTGAGGGACAGCGCCCAGGCCCAGAGTTCAAGCCCCACGACTGACAAAAAAAAAAAATATATTTAAAAAAAAACGAGTCTCACAGACTTTCCTGCCCGGGCTGGCTTTGAACTTCGATCTTCAGATCTCAGCCTCCTGAGTAGCTAGGATTACAGGCGTGAGCCACCGGCGCCTGGCTGATTTACTTTTAAAGCAAAGTAGTGCTGAGTTGTGGGGTCAGGGAACCTTAGGTGGTTATGCAAAGTAAAGGAAAATTAAATATAGGCTTGGAAGACATGGTCAAGAAATGTATATTTTTCCTTGTCTCTACAAGGAATATTCTTAAATATTCATATTGTTTATGTGAATGTTTGTGGTTTAACAAATATTTTCTGTATATATGGGGAAAATGACACACGTATACCATGCACAAGCTAAGTGACAAATACGACGTTCGGTTGTTAAATTCAGCCAGGCTGAAGGTACCACCCTGCCAGGAAAAAAAAAAAACACTGTTGATTTGTCCTCCTCTGCTCTTATACCACACTCAACATGGACTCCTTTAAACTGCAGATGTATGGGGATTTCTCCCCACCAGCAAGCAATCCTGCAGACATAGACACAACTGAGTAAGGTGTCCTGTCCTGCAGTTCTCTTTTGGCACTATCTACCTGCCTGTAAGACCACATTGCACATTACATTTTTTTGTTGTTGTTGTTGGTCATAGGACTTGAACTCGGGGCCTCCCTGAGCTGCTTTTTGTTCAAGGTTAGCACTCTATCACTTTGAGCCACAGCACCACTTCTGGTTTTTGAGTGGTTAATTGGAGGTAAAAGTCTCATGGGGACTGCCCTGGCTGGCTTTGAACCTCAATCCTCAGATCTCAGCCTCCTGAGTAGCTAGGATCATAAAAGGCAACTATACTACAAAAGGTCTAGTTAGACCAACCTGGATTTTCTCATCTTGCTTCTTCCCAGCCTAAAGTAGCATAAATTACAGTAGTGTTTTTTTCAAGGATGCATACAGGAAGCCAGAGTTACCCCTAAAAATGTTCTATCAGTTTAACCCAGTAACTGAAAATGTGCCTCATCCAAAGGCACAGCTGAAATGATGGGCCATCTGTGATCACACTTTCTCCACCCACCCACTTGAAGTTTCCAAATGTTCATCAGGGAGGATGAATTTCTTCTTGTTACAGACCTAACATGTTCCATAGAGGACGGCTGTTAGTCTCAGGGGGGGAAAAACCTGCAAGAAAATTTTGAGGCCAAGCCAGAAATGACGCCATGTGTCCAATACTAAGTAGCTAAGGGATCCCACTTTTCCATCCCACCCACAACCTTGGATCTCAGGCTAACCATAGCTTAGCACCATTTTATGTGGGATGTCTAGTGTAACAAACGATTTTTTTTAATTACTTGGTGTGATTCCTTTCATAAAATCTTCAAAAACAGACAAAGCTAATCTCCAGGTCTCTGGGGGGGGTTGTCTTTGTACCAGTACTGGGGCTTGAACTCAAGGCCTAGGTATTATCCCTGAGCTTTGTCACTCAAGGCCCTTTTCACTCAAGGCTAGTGCTCTACCCCTTGAACCAATGTTCCACTTCCAGCTTTTTGCTGGTTAATTGGAAAAAAGAGTCTTACAGACATTCTTGTCCAGGCTGGCTTTGAACTGTGATTCTTAGATCTCAGTCTCCTAAGTAACTAGGGTTACAGGCATGAACCACTAGCACCCTACCCAAATCTTTTTTTGGGGGGAGATATTCATTGTGGGGCTTGAACTCTCGGCCTGGGCACTGTCCCTCAGCTCTTCAGCTCAAGGTAAGCGCTCTACCACTTGAGCCACAGTGCCACTTCTGGTGGTTAATTGGAGATAAGCGTCTCAGACTTTGCTGCTAATCTCAGACTCCTGAGTAGTTAGGATTACAGGCATAGGCCACTGGTGCCTGGCTTTGCCCAAATCTTTTAAATATCTAGCAGGTTAGAAGACAGCTAGGATTACTGGTGCATGCCACTGGCCTTGGGCAATATGTGCCTAGAATAGAAAGAAGGAAATTAGTAACTTCGAGAAAACAAGCTTGGGGGCTGGGAAGGTGGCTCAGTGGTAGAGTGCTTGCCTTTCATGCATGAGGCCCTGGGTTTGATTCCTCAGCACCACATAAGCAGAAAAAGCTGGAAGTAGGGCTGTGGCTCAAGTGGTAGAGCACTAGCCATGAGCTGAAGAGCTGAGGGACAAAGCCCAGGCCCAGAGCTCAGGCCCTATGACCAACAAAACAGAAAAAAAAAAACTTTTCAGAAGATAGATGTAAAAAAAAATCATAAGAATTTTCTTTTACAGTATTCTGATTTTCATTTACTATTGATGTCACAGAATTCAAGTGACTATTGAGAGAATGAAAGGAAAGGAAGTGTACATGGAGAGAAGTTTGCACCATGGCAAGTCAACAGATAATGTCTACAATTGGAAAATCAAGATGTAGTAGAATCAGTTATATGGGAATACCCCAGGGAAAAATGCCAGACTATCCAAGAAAGGACTAGAGGTGTACAATACATAACCTAGCAAGTGCAGGGCCCTGGTTCAAACTCCATCCTACAAACCCAAAAAAAAAATTGGTTGAAAGTAGATTCCCTCTGAAGGCAACAGTTGGTACTACTTTTTTTTTTTTTTCTCTTTTAATCAGCATTGTAGAATTCTTGGAGTTCTTATACTACTTGGATTTTTTTTTTGGTGGGGGGGGGGGGTGGGGAGAGGGCACCTCATGGGGTTTGAACTCAGGCCTGGGCTCTGTCCCTAAGCTTTTTTTACTCAAGGCTCTGCCAATTTTAGTTTTCTGGTGGTTGATTGGAGATAAGATTCTCATGGCCTTTTCTGCTCAAACTGGCTTTGAACCTCAGTCCTCAGATCTCAGCCTCCTGAGTAGCTGAGATTACAGGCACTTGATTTATTGGAATTCTTATATTTGTTGTCCCTTAAGGTAGAAGCTGATTTTTTTCCCCTCGCACCTAGGATTGGAGTTACAGCCTTGCACTCATCTGGCTTGCTCAGCTGGCATTCTACTACTTGAGACATGCCATTCTAGCACTGCTTTTTTTTTTTTTTTTTTTTTTATTTTGGAGATGGTGTCCTAGAAGATTTTCCTATTAGCTGCCTTTAAACCACTGTCCTCTAGATCTCAGCATCCTTGAACAGCTCAGATGACAGTGAATCACCAGTGCCCAGATAATTTGTGTGTGTGTGGGCGTGCGCGCGCGTGCATGCACGTGCACACACGGGCACATGTGTACTTGTATGCACATGCTAACACTGGGGTTTGAGCTTGGTGCCTGTATACTGTCCCTGAACTTTCATGCTCAAGCCTAGCACTCTGCCACTTGAGCCACAGCTCCTCTTCCATCATTTTAATTGTTGGAGATAAGAGTCTCATAGATTTTCCTGCCTGGGCTAACTTTGAACCTTGACCCTCATATTTTAGCCACCTACATTGCTAGTATTACAGGTGTGAGACTCGGGCACCAGCTCAGCTTAAAAAAACAAAAACAAAATTTTCCGGGCACCGGTGGCTCACACCTGTGAGCTACTTAGGAGGATAAGATCTGAGGATTGTGGTTCAAGCCAGCCCAGGCAGGAAAGTCTATGAGAGACTCTTATCCCAATTAACCACCAGAAAACTGTAAGTGGCGCTGTGGCTCAAGTGGTAGGGTGCTCACCTTGAGTTGAAGAGCTCAGGGACAGTGCCCAGGCCCAAAGTTCAAACCCCACCACCAACCAAAAAAAAAAAAAAGTATCACAGATTTTCCTGCCTGGGGCTGGCTTTGAGATCCTCACATCTCAGCCTCTAGAGTAGCTAGGATTACAGGCATGAGCCACCAGCACCTTGCTTTTCTGTTTTTTGTTTTGTTTTTGTCAGTCATGGGGCTTGAACTCTGGGCCTGGGCACTGTCCCTCAGCTCTTCAGCTTAAGGCTAGCACTCTACCACTTGAGCCACAGTGCCATTTCCAGCTTTTCTGCTTATGTGGTGCTGAGGTATTGAACCCAGGGCCTCATGTATGTAAGGCAAGCACTCTACCACTGAGCCACCTTCTCAGCCCCTTTTCTATTTTTGTGTGTGTGTGTGTTTGTGTATGTGTGTAGTTTATTGAAAATGAGAGTCTCACAGGCTTTCCAGCTGAGACTGGCTTCAAACTGTGATGCTGCTCAGATCTCAGCCTCCTTAGTAGCTAGGATTATAAACATGAGCCACCAGTACCTGGCTCAAAGCATTTTTTTTTAAAAAATAGAAGTTAGGCCATCCGGGGCCAGTGGCTCACACCTATAATACAAGCTATTCAGGAGGCTGAGATCTGAGGATCGTGGTTCAAAACCAGCCCAGGCAAGAAGCCTGTGAGACTCTTATCTCCAATAAACTACCAGAAAACTGGAACTGGCGCTGTGGCTGAAGTGGTAGAGTGCTTGCCTTGAGCTGAAAAGTGCAGGGACAGCGCCCAGGCCCAGAGTTCAAGCCTCACAACCAGCCTCCCACCCTACACGCCCCCGCCCCCCCCCAAAAAAAAAAAGTTAGGCCAGAGGACGGCAAGTCCTCTGGGGACTGCACATGGCCCTGGGTTTGAACTCAGCACTACAAAACAACAATACCCAATAAATACCATTTTTATTTGTGTCCTAACAATAAGGTTCCTTATTAAAGACAATTTCTGACACTGTACTTTTTATCACTCTTGTACAGATTCTCAGCGGGAATTTACCAGTAGACCAGGAACAGGATATGTACCTGTGGAGTTTTGGAAGAAAACAGGTATGTGTGTCTCTTCACCTAGGCTGCATGTACTCACTAGTTGGTGCAAGCTGGGAACACATACTAGGGGAAAGGCTGGTAACAGACCCTTTAGTATTTAATAATGTCTTCCTCATGGAGTTGTTGATTCCTGCTTCTTCCCTTCCAACTGATCCTGCATATCTCCTGACTATCTGTTGTGTCACCCTTTTACACCCTTCTCCTAGGTTACAGTGAGGCCTGAAGTACCCAGCTGTTTCCTTCCTTTTGATAGAAGTTGAATTAATCTCTCCTGCCTCACACAGTGTGTTCATGCTGCCACCACATTGGCTTCATTCAGCTCTTGGCGCAGCTTTTCAATCCCCAGTTCATTTACTCTCTATCCTAGTCAGGACTGTTCTTGGGCTAGAGATGTAACTCAGTGGTGAGGCAACATTTGCTTAGCATGTGCTAAGCTCTGGGTTCAGTCCCCAGCACCACAGAAAAAGAAATGTTAACAACAGTGAATCTAGTCAGATTCTTCACTTTCTTTCTTTCTTTTTTTCTTTTTGTCAGTCTTGTGGCTTGAACTCAGGGCCTGGGCACTGTCCTTGAGTTCTCTTTTTTTTTTTTGGGTCCGGTCGTGGGGCCTGAACTCTGGGCCTGGGCACTGTCCCTCAGCTCTTCAGCTCAAGGCTAGGGCTCTACCACTTGAGCCACAGCGCCATCCGGCTTTTTTCTTTTTTGCTTATGTGGTGCTGAGGAATCGAACCCAGGGCCTTATGCATGCAAGGCAAGCACTCTACCACTGAGCCACCTTCCCAGCCCCAAAGAACGTTTCATTTTTCTGCTATGGTTTTCTCTCTTTTTTTTTTTTTTTTTCCTAGCGCTGTACCACTTGAGCCACAGCGCTACTTTTGGCTTTTTTCTTTTTGGTTTTGTGGTGCTGAGGAACCAAACCTAGGTCCTCAGGCACGCAAGGCAAGCGCTCTACCACTGAGCCACCTTGAGTTCTTTTGCTCAAAGCTAGCACTCTACCACTGAGCCACAGTACTTTTTCTGTTTATGTGGTACTGAGGAATTACTTAGCCACATTCCCAGGCCAGATTCTTCATTTTCATGTGAAAGTTTTTGAACATTTCTTTTTAAGACCAAATGGTCCAGATTGAAATACAATTTGTAAGTTATAAGCCTTTTTTGTTGTTGTTGTTGGCCATGGGGCTTGAACTCTGGGCCTGGGCACTGTCCCTCAGCTCTTCAGCTCAAGGCGAGCGCTCTACCACTTGAGCTACAGAGCCACTTCCGGTTTTCTGGTGGTTTATTGGAGATAGGAGTCTCACAGTCTCTCCTGCCCGGGCTGGCTTTGAACCGCGATCCTCAGATCTCAGCCTCCAGAGTAGCTAGGATTACAGGCGTGAGCCACCAGCGCCCGGCTATAAGCCATTTTTTAGGGCGGAGGAATAGCTCAGTGGTAGAGTGCTTCCATGTGTGAAGCACTTCTAGTCCCCTGTACTTCCTCTCCTGTCTAATAAAAGATTACTTTTTAGTGTATTCTTGGGGAGAGGCAACTTGCAAAATGTCCAAAAATCAGTTATTAGTTACATTAGTTTATAGTTTTCCAAACAAAATTATTATTTTACCATGTGAAACAGTTTGAAAAACTTCATGCAACTGGAAAAGGAAAAACGTATATTATATTGATAAGTGGAGTAGAATTGTGAGAAATGAAGCTGTTGTAAGGTAGAAAAAAAGATTATCATATGCATGATCTCCTTGTAATTAGTAACTGACTGCTTAGGGAGGTTTTAGGTTAAGGACCCAACTTTGATGTTGAGCCAGCTAGACAAAAGTCCTTGCTCAGTTTTAAAAGTGCTGTCTGTTAACATACATGGCCTCCAATAAGGCAGATACCCAAACTGTAATTTTTATCAATTCATCCGTAAACTGTGAGGGTAAATTCTATTGATTCTAGAAGTACTCACCATGAGATCTGAGAATCAAGGTTTGAAGCCAGCCCAGACAAAAAGTATAAGATGGGAAGGTGGCTCACTGGTAGAGTGCTTGCTTCACATGCATGAGGCTCTGGGTTTGATTCCTCAGCACCACATAAAAACTGGAAGTGGTGCTGTGGCTCAAGTGGTAGAGCCGTAGCCTTGAACTGAAGAGCTGAGGGACAGTGCGCAGGCCCAGAGTTCAGGCCCCACGACCGGACCAAAAAAAAAGACTCATTTCCAATTAGCCAGCAAAAAGTCAGAAATTGACATGTAGCTCTCAAGTAGTAGACAGACAGCCTTGAGTTCAAGCCTCAGTAACAGCACACACACACAAAAAAAATAAGTATCACTCACCACATCTAACCTCTACCTGTGGTGACCATAATAGGTCTGTGTAGCTAGCCTGAGGAAAAGAAGTCAGTCCTTAGCCTATGGGTAAAGCTTTCTTAAGGCTAGAGCAATAAGATACGAATTTATAGGGGCTGGGAAGGTGGCTCAATGGTAGAGTGCTTGCCTTGCATGCATGAGGCCCTGGGTTTGATTCCTCAGCACCATATAAGCAGAAAAAGCCAGAAGTGGGGCTGTGGCTCAAATGGTAGAGTGATCGCCTTGAGCTGAAGAGCTGAGGGGCAGCATCCAGGCCAGAGTTCAGGCTCCATGACCAACCAAAAACAAGAAAAAAAAAAAAAAAGAATTTCTAGCACAGCAGTCTTGAACAGAGTTCCTTAATCTTTGTTGTGTAGTCCTGTGGACTCACATGAATTCACATTTTCATTTGACTAATGTCAAAATGCAAAGAGCATATCATGTGGCATGCCCATGAGGGCTGGTCATAGGTGACTGGATAGTAACTGCCAAATCTAGATATCTAGCTCATCTTTTTTTTTCCTTCTTGTTGTTGTTATTTGTCATGGGGCTTGAACTCAGGGCTTGGGCACTGTCCCTGTGCTTTTTTTGCTCAAGACTAGTACTCTACCACTTTGAGCCACAGCACCATTTCTGGTTTTCTGGTGGCTAGTTGGAGGTAAGAGTCTCACAGACTTTCCCTCCTGGTCTGGCTTTGAACCATGATCCTCAGATCTCAGCTCCTGAGTAGCTAGGATTATAAGTGTGAACCACCAGCGCTTTTTTTTTTTCTTTTTTTGCAAATTCTTCATTGTGATTAAATGATTACAAAATTTCACCAATTTCACAGTATTGTAGGATAGTGATGCTTAGTTAAAGTCACAAACACAGGGCTGGGAAGGTGGCTCAGTGGTAGAGTGCTTGCCTTGCATGCATGAGGCCCTGGGTTCAATTCCTCAGCACCACATAAGCAGGAAAAAATAGCTGGAAGTGGCACTGTGGCTCAAGTGGTAGAGTGCTAGCCTTGAGCTGAAGAGCTGAGGGACAGTGCCCAGGCTAAAGTTTATGAGTTCTGTGAGCTTTTTTTTTTTTTTTTTCTTTTTGGTTGGTCATGGTGCTTGAACTCTTGGCTTGGGCACTGTCCCTGCGCTCTTCAGCTCAAGGCGAGCACTCTACCGCTTTTGCCACAGCACCACTTCTGGTTTTCTAGTGGTTTATTGTAGATAAGAGTCTCACAGGGGCTGGGAAGGTGGCTCAGTGGTAGAGCACTTGCCTGGCATGCTTGAGGCCCTGGGTTCGATTCCTTAGCACCACATAAGCAAAAAGAAAAAAGCCAGAAGTGGAGCTGTGGTTCAAGTGGTAGAGAGCTAGCCTTGGGCTGAAGAGCTGAGGGACAGCGCCCAGGCTCAGAGTTCAGGCCCACAACTGGAGTCTCACAGACTTTCCTGCCCAGGCTGGCTTTGAACCGCGATCCTCAGATCTCAGCCTCCTGAGTAGCGAGGATTTACAGGCATGAGCCACCAGTGCCCAGCAAGTTCTATGGGCTTTGACAATACAGTTCTTTCTTTTACATCGGGTGATATGTACATTCCTTTCCTTTTGCATAGCGTCAGCTGCTCCCTCTTTCCCACTCATTCGTTCCCTCCCATCGCTGCATTGAGTTGCTTAGTTCGTTTTGATCAATGTCCAGTGCAAGCTCATCTTTCTTTGATGTGAGAAGTCTCCAGAATCAAAATCTCCTCTAGTCACTTATTTGTCCCTGTATACTCCAGGGACACCTCACCCTATCACTTGTTATTATGCCTGCTCTTGGTATATTACTCATCTCATTGCATAGCATTGCCATTCTCTTTCCTTCACCTCCACTTTATTATTTATTTATTTATTTATTTATTTATTTATTTATTTATTTATTTATTTATTGTCCAGTTGTGGGGCCTGAACTCTGGGCCTCGGTGCTGTCCCTCAGCTCTTCAGCTTAAGGCCAGCGCTCTACCCACTTCCGGCTTTTCTGCTTATGTGGTGCTGAGGAATTGAACCCAGGGCCTTATGCATGCAAGGCAAGCACTCTACCACTGAGATACCTTCCCAGCCCCATCTCCATTTTAGATAGATACTTTGGTACTGCCAGTATCATGTTCCCTGATATGCAACCTGTTTCTTCTGCTTTGTCCTTCTTAGAAATGCTGGGAAGGGGAGGGGAAAGATTTCCCGGCCAGTTGATTTTACTGTCACTTTCTTCCAGAAGAAGCTGTGAATAAGGTGAAAATTCAGGCCATGTCAGAAGTACAGAAGGCAGTTGCTGAGGCTGAGCAAAAAGCCTTTGAAGTGATTGCAACAGAGAGAGCTCGAATGGAACAAACCATAGCAGATGTCAAACGACAGGCCGCAGAAGATGCCTTCCTTGTGATCAATGAGCAAGAAGAGTCAACCGAGGTCAGAGTTCTACTAGGCTATGGTCTGGGCAAGGCAGTAAGACATAGAGCCCACTCTTGAACTAGACAATTTTAATTTTTAGCCAGTTACAATAGAGTTTTTCACTTGCATGCATGACATTTAGCTCTGTATATGTACTTTCTTTTTGGTTTTCACAGTAACCCAATAAGGTAGAGATTATTGCTTCTCTAATTTACAGTAGAGAAAACTAGCTCAGGAGATTGAACTGACATAATCCTGAAATTCTGAAGACAGATACTGAAGTAAGAAAAGCAGGGTAGGGCTGGGAAGGTGGCTCAGTGGTAGAGCACTTGCCTTGCATGCCTGAGGCCCTAGGTTCAATTCCTCAGCACCACATAAGCAAAAAGAAAAAAGCTAGGAGTGGTGCTGTGGCTCAAGTGGTAGAGCACTAGCCTTGAGCTGAAGAGCTGAGGGACAGTGCCCAGGCCTAGAGTTCAGGCCCCATGACTGGACCCAAAAAAAAAAAAAAGAAAAGAAAAGCAGGGTACTGGGCTGGAGATATGGCTCCCATAGGGTGTCAACTGAAGAAGCAAGCCGATTGACAGCACAAGGCCCTGAGTTCAAATTTGAGTACTGCAGGGGAAAAAAAAAAAAAAAAGCCAGGGTTGAGCCGGGCGCTGGTTGCTCACACCTGTAATCCTAGCTACTCAGGAGGCTGAGATCTGAGGATCGTGGTTCAAAGCCAGCCCGGGCAGGAAAGACCGTGAGACTATCTCCAATAAACCACCAGAAAACCGGAAGTGGCGCTGTAGCTCAGGTGGTAGAGCACTCACCTTGAGCTGAAGAGCTGAGGGACAGCGCCCAGGCCCAGAGTTCAAGCCCCACGACCGACAAAAAAAAAGAAAAAAAAAAAGCCAGGGTTGGTAGCTTGTACCTACAATTCTAGCTACTCAGGAGGCTGAGATCTAGATAATAAATCTTTGTTGAAAAGTCCATGAAATGGGCTGGGAAGGTGGCTGAGTGGTAGAATGCTTGCCTTGCATGCATGAGGCCCTGGGTTCGATTCCTCAGCACCACATAAGCCGAAAAGGCCAGAAGTAGCACCGTGGCTCAAGTGATAGAGTGCTAGCCTTAAGCTGAAGAGCTGAGGGACAGTGCCCAGGCCCAGAGTTCAGGCCCCACGACTAATCCAAAAAAAAAAAAAAAAAAAGTTCATGAAACTTTATTTCTAAATAACCAGTAAAAAGCCAGGCTGGAGGGATAATTTAAGTGATAGAATGCCAGCCAAGCAAGCTTGAGGCCCCTAATTTCAAGCCTCAGTTCCAGCAAAAGGAAGATAAAACCACAGTCCTATGACATCTAGTCTCTTTACAAATAGGACAGCTCTTATGAGCTGAAACACATTAGGCAGACCTGCTCAGTGCCTATGTTGGGCGGAGCACATGATGATGGAGACAAAAGGAAGAAACTGAAAAGGAAAACACATTTGATAACCAGGCATGGGTGGCTCATGCCTGTAATACTAGCTTTTCTGAGGATAGAGTTCAAAGCCAATCCAGGCAGATAATTTCCAGAGACTCTTATCTTCAATTAACCACTAAAATCCTGGAAGTGGAAGTGTAGAGTGACAACTTTGAAAAAAAGCCAAGATATATGAGTATAAGGCCCTGATTTCTAGCCCTAATAATGCAAAAAAAAAGCATTTGACAGTAACATTTTAATAATCCTGACAGTACTTTTGACTATCATGAAGTTTTTCTCTAACTTTCATTGTAGTTATTTTTCAGGCTTAAAAATTTTGAGAAACGGGCTGGGAAGGTGGCTCAGTGGTAGAGTGCTGGCCTTGCATGCGTGAAGCCCTGGGTTTGATTCCTCAGCACCACATAAGCAAAAAGAAAAAAGCTGAGCCGGGCGCTGGTGGCTCACGCCTGTAATCCTAGCTACTCAGAAGCTGAGATCTGAGGATTGAGGTTCAAAGCCAGCCCGGGCAGGAGAGACCGTGAGACTCTTATCTCCAATAAACCACCAGAAAACCGGAAGTGGCACTGTGGCTCAAGTGGTAGAGCGCTCGCCTTTAGCTGAAGAGCTGAGGGACAGCGCCCAGGCCCAGAGTTCAGGCCCCACGACTGGACCCAAAAAAAATTTTTTTTTGAGAAACAAGCCTGCCTCTGTAAGTATGGTAATTCTCTTCTGCTGAGGCACTAATAGCTAATTTTAAGCCATTGTCTTAAAATAAAATACATTTTCATTTTTTTGTTTTTGTTTTTAGAATGCTAAGGTTCAAACTCTGAGCTCTACCACTGAGTTATACTCCCAGATCTGGGTTTTAGTTATTTTAAAATTAAACAAGTTTGTTGGGGTTTCTTTGTGTGTTTGTTGTTGTTATTTGAGCACGCATGCGTGTGTGTGTGTGTCTGTCTGTCTGTCTGTCTGTCATGGGGCTTGAACTCTCTGGGCCTTGGTATTGTCCTCAGTTCTTCATCTCAAGGCAAACACTCTACCACTTGAGCCACAGCACCACTTACAGTTTTCTGGTGCTGTATTGGAGATAAGAGTTTCATGGACTTTCCTGCCCAGGCTGGCTTTAAACTGTAATCCTCAGATCTCAGCCTCTTGCGTAGTAGGATTACAGGCGTGAGCCACTGGCGCCTGGCTAAACAGTACAAGTTTTATTTTTTCCTTGTTAAATGACCCATTTAAATACAGTGATGCCAAGCATAGCCAGGTAAAGACAAATTTGCTTTATAAAAGACCCTGCGTGTGAAAATACAACTTCTTTAAGCCTTCCTTTCTCCTTACCCCTCCTACTTTTTCTCTACAATTATTCTGTTTTGTTTGAAACAGGGTGGCCTCAAACTCAGTTCTCATGCTCAGCCTCCTGAATACCAAGATTATAGGTGTGAACCACCATATCCAGTTTGTAGAGTTGGTTGTTTTTTTTTCAGTGCTGAGGATCAAACTCAGGCTTGTATATGCTAGACAAGCATCCAGCCACTGAGATATATCCTCAGTTTTTGCTTTTGTTTTTGAACTCTTTAGGTAGATGCTCTTATTATTTGCATTTGGCCTCTTTTTACATGGGTTGTTTTTTAGGTAGAGCCTCACTTTTTTCTTTTTTTTTTTGTCGGTCATGGGGCTTGAACTCTGGGCCTGGGCACTGTCCCTCAGCTCTTCAGCTCAAGGCGAGCGCTCTACCACTTGAGCTACAGCGCCACTTCCAGTTTTCTAGTGATTTATTGGAGATAGGAGTCTCAGGTCTCTCCTGCCCGGGCTGGCTTTGAACCGCGATTCTCAGATCTCAGCCTTCTGAGTAGCTAGGATTACAGGCGTGAGCCACCAGTGCCCGGCTGAGCCTCACTTTTTGCATTGATGAGGAACACACAAACACACACACGTCGCCATAGTGTTTTGAGGATAACAAGCACATGCCATCAAGCCTAGACTTTGAGATGGAGTCCTATGAGCTGCTTTTTCACCAGCCTAGCTTCAGACTGTAACCTCCTGACCTCTGCCTCCCAAGTAGCTAAGATTTTAACATTGAGCCACCATGCAGACTTCTGTGTGTAAAGAAGGAATAGTGATTTTTGGTTGAGGATGAGTTCTAGACTGCATAGGTTCAAATCCTAAGCCTGTATTTTTTTCTGCCACGTGTCATTTGGATGTTTATAACATCATTCAAGGAACCACAGAAAATCAGCACAGCAGCCAGCCACAGGCATCAACAGTAAGCCTGTATGTGCATCCTATCATCTACCATAAGCATGTATGTCTATCCTATCATCTACCAAATGATTACAAATGGGAACTTCCTACCTCCCCATTTAGAGATTTTTTAAGAAGCCTTTACTTATTTATTTTGTGCCAATACTAGTTTGAGCCTGGGCACTGTCCCTTAGCATTTCCACTCAAGGCTGGTACTCCAGCTCTTAAGTCACCTCCACTTCCAAGAGGTTATCTTTTTTTTTTTTTGTCGGTTGTGAGGCTTGAACTCTGGACCTGAATGCTGTCCCTCAGCTCTTCAGCTCAAGGCTAGCGCTCTACCACTTGAGCCACTGCACCACCTCTGGTTTTCTGAGTGTTTTATTGGAGATAAGAGTCTCATGGACTTTCCTGCCTGGGCTGGCTTTGAACCACGATCCTCAGATGTTAGCCTCCTGGGTAGCTAGGATTATAGGCATGAGCCACCAGCGCCTGGTGAGGTTATCATTTTTAAACCATGTATAAAGTGGCCTAAGATGAAGCATACACCAACATCTACCCCAGAAACCTTTCCAAAACAGGGATGTATGTAGAGCCTAAGCTTTTGTTTGCATTGACTAGGTAAACTGGTTTCCTTCCATTTTCTGCATAAAACAGATCTCACTGACATTTCACTGGTGTCTGTGCAGTTTCTCCTTGTCCTGTAAGAAGCTCTTTGGCAGGGGCTTGAATTGTAGTCCTCTTCTAGTCCCACTTAGCATTCATACTGAAAGCCATCCTCCCTTAAAGAATCGACTTTCTTCTCTCTCCAGTGGATATAGCAGCCTCTGTCCTGCTACCTTGGTAGTTTGGGGCTTTAGGAGGTTGTTTGTACATTTGTTTGTGGTACTGGACTTTGGACTCAGGGCCTCACACTCATTAATAAGCACCCACCCCACCACTTGAACCAAACCTCCAGCTGAGACCTGTCATTTTTAGGAAGATAAAATAAATTCTTGTTATGAATCCCATTCTTCCTGATAATTTCATCAGAATAGTGCATAAGACTTGTCTGTCAGCAGTGGGTCCTGGAGTCCTTGTGCGGAGGGCACGTGCATATCACTAGTGGCCTGAGCCTGTGCTGGGCTGCACTGTGGCCACCTTTATTCTAAGGTGCTCTTCTCTCCTAGCCAACTGGGAGAGGCATCCAGTTGTCTGTCTGGTGTCTGTAGTGCTGCTTTCATGTCTTGCTTTCAGTTCTCCCAATGCCTTGATTAGCTCATGTGTTCTGTAATAGAATTGCTACATTCTCAGCTGATAGTTTTGCTGAGCTCTGGTAGTACCTTCCCCCTCTGAAAAAGTTCAAGAAGGAATGAGAAAGTGCTATCACTTCAGGGCTAAGTTTCCTTGAGGACAGACAGACCTCTTTCTCCCCAAATCCCAGGCCGTCAGCAAAGGAGAATGGGTAGCACAGGTGCCCAAAGCAGAAATACACAGTCACCTCCCTCTTCCCCATCCATCCCAGTTCCTTAGCAGGTGGCTTTTTTGGAAGAGGTCCACTTATGCAAGGTGGCTCATGCCTATAACCTAGCTTCTCAGGAGGCTGAGATCTAAAGATTGATGTTGGAAGCCAGCCCAGGCAGGAAAGTCTGAGGGACACTCATCTCAAATTAACTATCATAAAGCCAGATGTGAAACTGGGGCTCAAGTGGTAGAGCACTAGCCTTGAGTGAAAAAGCAAAGGACAGCACCCAGGCCCTGAGTTCAAGCCCCTGTGCTGGCACACACACACACAAAAAAATGTTAATAAAAACAACAGGGCTCATTCCTCCATTGGAAGGAATGAATGTCCACCTATGGTGTGTTTAGAAGGTGTCTGTTGCAGGAGCACTGGGGATGAGGTAATTTACTCTCTGAGAAGCCAAGCAGGTGTCAGAAGATAAATCTGTGTCTTAAGCTGGAGGAGGGCTTGTGCCTGCCCAGGCTGTACATGTACCCTGTATCTTTTTTTTTTTTTCTTTCGGTCAGTTGTGGGGCTTGAACTCTGAGCCTGGGCACCGTCCCTCAGCTCTTCAGCTCAAGGTGAGCGCTCTACCACTTGAGCCACAATGCCACTTCCGGTTTTCTGAGTGGAGATAAGAGTCTCACAATCTTTCCTGCCCGTGCTGGCTTTGAACCATGATCCTCAAATCTCAGCCTCCTAAGTAGCTAGAATTACAGCCATGAGCTACCAGCGCTAGTCCCCTATGTCTTTTGGGTAGTTCTCCTGCTCTGCATATGAAGGACATTCAGAACAGGGTATGTCTGTCTTTCTCATGGTTGAACTAGTAGCAAGGAGTACCATGTAGGTAACATTGACAAATGAGAAGCCCACCCCTTGAGATCCTAGCAGCTACTAACTGATGCCTATGTCTTGCAGAACTGCTGGAACTGTGGCCGCAAAGCTAGCGAGACGTGCAGTGGCTGCAACATTGCCCGGTACTGCGGCTCCTTCTGCCAGCACAAGGACTGGGAGCGGCACCACCGCCTCTGTGGCCAGAGTCTGCATGGTCAGAGTCCCCATAGCCAGAGCCGGCCACTGCTTCCTGGAGGGAGGGGCTCCTCAGCCAGGTCAGCTGACTGCAGTGTGCCCAGCCCAGCCCTAGACAAGACCTCGGCCACCACCTCACGTTCCTCAACTCCTGCCTCTGTAACAGCCATTGATGCCAATGGACTCTGAGCCCCAGACTCCACCCACCCTTATGGCCACTCCATGTGACAGAGCCCTTGCAGCAAGGATTTGACTGTTGGATCCAGGAGCTGTTGGGTCATTGTCAAGAACTGAAGTGAAAGCAGGACTTGACCAAACCTCCCTGCAACTTGTCAAGAATGTGCAGAAGAACTAGTATGTTGGACTTTGCACACAGGTGGCCTGAACTGCCTCCTCGGTAGCTCTCCCATGTTCCTCTCCCAGTCAGAGCTGGCTTAGCCAGCCCATTCAGTGCAGATCACCAGCTCCCCACCTGCTTCACTGGCAGACTGTCACAGTGCTGGCCAAGCTGGCTGCAACTCACCCCTGTACTATCTAGTTCCTGCTCCATCCATGGGCCTCATGTGCCAGAGGCCAGGACGCAGACAGCAGGCTGAGGAGGCCTCTCAGCCTCACAGGGACTTGGGTAGGCGAAAAGCTGTACTCAGGACTCATCCTCTGCCCAGAAAAGGGCAAAAAAGAAGCCAGTACTTCAGTTGAAGCACTCCTAATGCTAAGAAGGAATAAAAATAAGTTTTCCCTGACATTGAAAAGTATTTTGGACTAGTTTCCAACCTGGCTGGCTCCTTTAGTTTGGAACCCATTTTTCTTCCATATCTCACTTGATTTTGTGTGTGCAGAAAATAGTTTCCAGCACTTGGACTGGTCCAAGAGAAAATGGGACTCCTTTGTGTTAGTCTTCTCTCTGAGCATGCTGGCCAAACTAGTATCATTAAATTACTGAGCAGGACATCTCTTGGAAGTTCAGGGCCCTCTGCCACTGCTTGACTGTTTGCATAGTCATCTTCTATGTCCTTTTCTCTCAGACCGCATATGACCGACTCTGGGCATTGTCTGCCTGTGGGCTCTGGTTAGTACTGTTAGGCTGCAGCAGTTACATGAGCTGGGCCGGAGTGTGAGGACTTAGCACAACAGGCTGGTGTTAGCTGAGCAGCCCTCTGGACCTGAAGAGGCTCCTCACACCTGGTTCCTGGCATTATGGCTATGACATCAATTCATTATCAGGCACACAGGCTCAGTCTCCCTTCTCACATGACCTGTTCAGTACATTCCTTCAGCTCAGGAAGATTGTGTGACATGTAAGAGCTGTTTGGGAAAGCTTTCTACCTGCTCCCCTGGCTGTCCAGCCCCTCCCTACTCCCCAGAGTGGTGGGCGCTACTTCACACCTTCTCTGCCAGCACAGGGACCTACTCCCACTTATTCCCTACGGAGCTCCAGCATCCTCCCCTGTCCTGTGGAATCACTTGGGGTGAGTTGCTTGACCTTGTTCCTGCTGGCTTTTGAAAGCCATGGTTAGATTGCCACTTTCTGTGCACTGACCTGATCTGAATTAAAAGCCCTATTGGTCCCATACAGGAAAGTGATGGGCATGGTGGCATGGGCCTCCCATATAGTTGTAACATACTTAAGAGCTTTTAAGTCCCTACTGTACCTTAATCAAAGATTTTCAGTTTTTCAAAGAAACCTGGTACAGGGAACTTAAGACTTGCTGGGGCTGGGAAGGTGGCTCAGTGGTGGAGTGCTGCCTTGCATGCATCAGGCCCTGAGTTTGATTCTCTACACCACATATGCAGAAAAAGCCAGAAGCAGCAATGTGGCTCAAGTGGTAGAGCACTAGACTTGAGCTAAAGAGCTGAGGGACAGCGCCCAGACCCAGAGTTCAGGCCCCACGACCAACAACAATAACAACAACAAAAAGACTTGCCAGGCACCGGTAGCTCATACCTATAATCCCAGCTACTCAGGAGGCTGAGATCTGAGGATCACAATTTAAAGCCAGCCCGAGCAGAAAAGTCCCCATGAGATTCATCTTTAATTAACCGCTCAAAAATCAGAAGTGGAGCTGTGGCTCAAAGCGGTAGAGCATTAGCTTTGAACAAAAGAGCTCAGGCCCTGAATTCAAGCCCCAGGACCAACAAAAATATCAAATACCTAGACTTCCATTGTATAAAGTAAGGTGGACCCAGAGAATGAACAGGTAATTACACTATTTTAGCATGTAATACAAGACCTAGAGCCCTTCAGTCTGTCCAGTACAGCCTGGCCTTCCTCTCCCCCATCTATCTCATGGAACCTCATCCACTGGGAAGTCACCGTCTCAGGGGGAAAATCAGTTAGCACAAGAGTGTCCTGGGTCTGTCCTTGGCTCACTTTCTTCATTTAAAGTTGTCACTGACCACAAGACTAGCAGTGTAGCTGTTATACTGGTTAGAATAAGAGCCAAAATCACTGGGCAGTGGAGATGCATGCCTATAATTCCAGCACTCAAGGCTGAGGCAGAAGGATCCTGAGTTTTAACACCCATGTCTTTTAGTGGGGGAAAACAAAACAAACAGAACCAAGACTGTTATCAGGATCTTGTTGTGGTCTTCCACAGGGAAACTCAGGTGCAGAGCCTGGCCTACTTTTGTAAGCTATGGTTCCAGTCCAAAGAGTTTCTGTTTGAGTCTGTAAAGCCATTCCAGACTGCTTGGCTCCTGTGCTGTAAGAGTCCATCTGCAATCCTAGGCAGGACTCCATACTAGTTCAGTTCTCAGAGCTTTTAGGGTGTGTGTGTGTGTGTGTGTGTGTGTGTGTGTGTGTGTGTGTGTGTGTGTGTGTGTGTGTGTGTGTGTGTGTGTGTGTGTGTGTGTGTGTGTGTGTGTGTGTGTGTGTGTGTGTGTGTGTGTGTGTGTGTGTGTGTTCAGTTCTCAGAGCTTTTAGGGGTGTGTGTGTGTGTGTGTGTGTGTTCAGTTCTCAGAGCTTTTAGGGGTGTGTGTGTGTGTGTGTGTCCATGCCTCCAGGCCCTTTATGCATCAGTTATTTCCAAGGCAGAATCTCTACATCCCAGTTAGCCTGCGCTGCTATCTTCCTACTTGTGCTTCCCTGTGTCACTGGGGATGACAAACATGTGCCATTATTTGAAGTGGAGTCTCAGGAACTTCTTTTTGACCGAGCTACCCTAGGACTATGATCTTCTGATCTCTTTCCCAAGAGGTTTACAGGCTGGAGACACCACATTCAGTTCCCTTTCAATGTCTTCAGTCTGTGTATTGTCACACACAAGGCATGGGCACCATCCATGATTTCCCTTTCTCCGACTCCATTCTTCAGCTCCCTGGACGGGAGGAAAAGCAGCATCTGGGTGAGGTAGGAGCCATTCTAGGCTCCCTACTTGGTTTCTGGTCTCTACTGACCACTTCTACCAGTTTGAGAGTGGATGGACAGGCTCCCATGCATCTCCACTGGGATTTTTAGGAAGTATTAGAGTCAGGTGGCTCAGAGGCATGGCCTCTACAGTTGATCCAAATGAAGAAGGCCAAGAGTGGCTGGAGTGGTTCAGAAGGTGGCAGAGCATGTCCAGAGGAGAAGGTGAGCCAGCCCTTGGCTTGCTGAGGGGTCCTGGCGGTGGAGGGGCTTCACAGTATGAGGACAAATCACAGGAACCAGCAGGCACCAAGGGCAGCCCACATGGGAGCCATCTTTAAATGTTTTTTTGGTTCTCTGGGTGCCAGTCCCCCTGTACTTTCGGCTCATGCAGTGTTGAAGGCTTGGGAAGAAGTTGAGTGGTTGCACCTCACGGGGGTGCCCCTGCTCAGTAGACTTGCTCATGTGTAGCTGGGAGGGGAAAGGTGCAATGTGTTGCTCTTCTTGAGTCACCGCTGAGTCTTGTCTTCACAAATCTACACGTGGAAGCGGCTGTATGGGCCTGGGCTGTGGCCCTCCCTCTGCCTTTTGGGCTCCGTGGTCCATTAGGGCCTGTTGGTCCACTGGGAGCGCATCACTTCTTGCCATCAGCTTGAGCATCTTCTGCTTCCAGACAGAAAATTTCCCATGTTGCTCCCCAGCCCCGCCACCTCCTCGCAGAGGTACAGACATAGGTCTTCAGGATGTCTCGTCATGTTCGCTTGAAGCTTCATGACAATTGCAATTGTGTGATAATGAATTCTTTGGAGAGAAAATATAAAGGATGTCCAGATGGCCATTTGTCCAAGAAACTGTAGGAGGAATTGTGGACTGAATAAATCATTACAAATAGGACACATCTTGGAGGCTTTCTTAAGAACTGGACTAGAACCAAGGTTTCCAGGCTCCTGAGTCAGGAGAGCAAGCCAATGCGGATGGTTTTTAGCTATTTGCAGAGAATTGGGTGGTGGCATGTTTGAACCAAATGTGAGAAAAGCCAGAAGGACCTGGACTGCTCCAGCATGGGCCAGATGGCCAGCTGTCAAAGAAGAGCCCTGCCCCAGCTGGCAGGGACAGCAGGACAGCTGCTCAGCAGAGCCCTTCTGGCTCTCGAGAATAGTTCTGTGAAACCAAAATGCTCACTACCTGCCTCTTTGCCCAGTGCATGGACATGTATTTTCCAAAGATGGTGGAGCAGGTAACCAGCCTATTCTGAGCCAAGAGAAAGTTGGGAGGCCTGAAGGCAGGCCTGCAGCCAACCCTCCACCTCCCACTCCACAGCCCAAGAGGAGGCACTTCGCGCACAGACCCATCTGGTTAGGCCTCAGACTACCCAGGGTGTGCTCCCACGGATGCTTATACCAAATAGGGCGTGTGCAGCTGGTGTCTGTAGGGGACAGCCCGGCCCTGCCTTGTAGTTGGCGGAAAGAAGCAGCAATAAGCATTGGGTGAATGGTGAAAGGGATATTTAGCTTTCCAAGTTCCTGATGAGGCTCCAAAGGCTCCATCCATAAAAGAAAGGCAGTGATGTAAATAAATAGAATCTAAGCCCCACGTGCGGTGTCAAGGGGCTGCTGAGTGGGAGCCGCTGTGGGATGCGCCAGTCTGCTTCTGTACTTCACCATTTGACTCTGATAAGAACTTTTGTTACTCAACTGTGCATAACTTATTTAAGGTACTGTATAAACGAACCAAAACCGTTTAAATATGTATTTAGTTTGTTCTACTTAGTCAATAAAAGGCTATATTCCTTTTCTGACTCAAGCTGGATTGGGCTGGGAGGCTGGCGTGGTACCGTGGTGGGCTATGCGTGATGGTGGCCTGCACTAGGCCTGGGTCCCCTTCTCCCACTTAGGGACACTCCTGTCACCGTTAAGTGACTTTTGGCAAGGAGATTTCAACCAAGGTCTGAAAAATAAAATAATGGATGTGGGATCTGTTTTCTAATAACTCTTTTGTTTTTCTTTTTGTCGGTCATGAGGCTTGAACTCTGGGCCTGGATGCTGTCCCTGAGCTCTTTTTGCTCAAGGTTAGTTCTCTAACACTTTGGCTACTTCCAGTTTTCTAATGGTTAATTGGAGCTATGAGTCTCAAGGTCTTTCCTGCCCAGGCTGCCTTCCTGCCCAGGCTATCTTCAGATCAGCCTCCTAAGTCGCCAAGATGAGCCCCCACCAGCTCCTGGCAACTCACGTATTTTCTTTTTTTTGGAGGGGGGGAGGGGCCTGGTCGTGGGGCCTGAACTCTGGGCCTGGGTGCTGTCCCTCAGCTCTTCAGCTCAAGGCTAGCACTCTACCACTTGAGCCACAGCGCCACTTCCGGCTTTTTTTCTTTTTGCTTATGTGGTGCTGGGGAATTGAACCCAGGGCCTCA